CCACCCCTGCCAGCACCATTTTGATGTGTTTTGACTATTTCAAACAGGAAACTTTGAATGCGTTTGAATCTATGGTGTTAATTCTACTCTCTACTTGCAGTATGCTTTTCATGATCTGATCTTATGATTTGATTGCCAAAGAATTCCTAGTCGATGTCGAGTCAGATCAGAATATGGTACCAAAAAAACCCAAATTGAAGTATGAACCGTAAGATCTCACAAGTATTGCTCTTCGAGCCTTTGATTTTAGAGAATTGTGAGGTACATGAACGGCTAGCGAGACTCAAACCCACAAGGTGCAAAGTGCGGCCACATCCTAAGTGCGGTGCGCAAACCAATTTCCCTACACTTGTAGGAATCGCTAAGGTGAGAATTGGACGATCTGGGCCACCTGCGGTCCTACCGGCCTGACGGTTCGGATTTCTGCGTGATCTTAAGACTTTAGGATCGTGCGACTATCCAGCCCGTCCAGCAAGGTGGACGGCTTGGATAGTCCCCCACTCTTAGAGTCTTAAGATCTCGGGAGGATCCGAGCGATCGACCCGGTAGGACCGCAGATGGCCTGGATAGTTGCAGCCGTTGGAAAGAGGGCCCGTCGTGAAAGAACCGCCCGGTACCTGTTAGGCCTTGGGCCGTTGCAGGGCGGCCTCCTCGCCCTACTCCAGTCTAACGGCCTTCCTCTACCGCACCTAGTGAAGCCGACAAAGGACTCTAGGCCTGCACACTCTTAGAGTCTTAAGATCTCGGGAGGATTTGAGCGATCGCCCCGGTAGGACCGCAGATGGCCTGGATAGTTGCAGCCGTTGGAAAGAGGGCCCGTCGTGAAAGAACCGCCCGTTACCTGTTAGGCCTTGGGCCGTTGCAGGGCGGCCTCCTCGCCCTACTCCAGTCTAACGGCCTGCCTCTACCGCACCTAGTGAAGCCGACAAAGGACTCTAGGCGGGCACACTCGTCAACGCGTTGCATCGTTCGGCCCCGTTGTGCGACTGATGGCTGTTACTCACGGTTGAGGACAACCTCTCTCTCCCTCCCTCTCTCTCTCTCTCTCTCGGGCATGTCTGCGTTTGCGGAATTGTGTGTAGCAAACATGGCATGGCACGGGCGCATGCGCACATGCAAGTGTGGAATTGCATCGTGGGCAGACTGTCGGGCTTCAACCTCCTGATGAGTCGGTGAGAGTCCAACGAAACAGTTT